GGTATTGAATTATAAATGTTCCTCTTTTGTACACGTTGTATTTCTTATCTAAAGTAAATTTGTTAAAACATAACAGTCTTAGAAATATTTATCTTCCATCAAAGCTCAGCTTAAGCAAGAATATATTTTTTTATCATATGGTTTAGAGTTTCACTGGTGCTATTGTAAATAGTATGTAATCAACTGAATCCCAGATTCTGATGTTAGATAATTATTGCTTCTAGGTTTTCCAAAGATGACCAGCAGAACCTTGAGTCTTTGGTGGAGAAATGGCAGGAAAGTTATCCTGGGGACAACTTCTTTCTTAGGACGTGTAAGTTTTTCAAAAGTATCACTGACAAAATAATAAATAAGTTTCCATAGTATGTATTGTATTTTTCAAACACACAGGTATGATGCCGCTACCAATGGTAACATTCCATCAGAGGACTTCCTGTTTGTTCACCAGACCGCCTGTCTTTTAAGCTTGTATTGGAGAGACATTTGCATCATGGATGCCACATATAAGACCTCAAAGTATGCCCTCCCTTTCTTTTTCATTTGTGTGCGAACTAATGTTGGGCATTCCATATGTGGTTCTTTTGTTGTTTCAATGGAAACTAAAAGGTCAATTGAGGAGGGCTTAAACAAAATTAAGGAATGGAATCCAGGATGGACTCCAAAGTATTTCATGACAGATTATGATGAAAGGGAAATCCATGCAGTTGAGGAAGTATTTGAATGTATAAAATATGTACTCTTATTATTCCAAGTATATTTATCACATGGTAAACCAAATATTTTAGCCATTGAAATCCTCTAATATTCTGTTGAATTAATGAAATGTTTTTTTTTAACAGAATGTACTGTATATCTCTGTTCTTTTCATCGTGAACAATCATGGACACGGTGGTTGAAGCAGATAAAACACGGTGTTGGTTCAAATCAGGATGTTATTGAACTGTAAGTACTTGTACACATGTGATGATAATATTGAATTATTATGCTGATTGTCATATTTATTTGAGTTTATTTTCTTAAGCATATATTTATTTAATCAAAAGAAACAAGTTATCATTATTTTCATAGATATTGTAATGCAAAAATCTAAAGAGAATGATACATGATAGAATTATTGGCAAATGTGTATTGTTATTATTATTATTATTATTATTTTTTTTTTTTGTTAATATATTTACAGAATGAGAGGATTAGCTATTGCCGATTCAGAAACAGACTACAAAGTAGCTCTAGACAGGCTAAAAGAAAGTCCTCACTGGCAGAATAATCAACAACTGCAGAGGTGGTTTGAAAAACAGTGGATATCAGTTTCACATGTAAGATTTAAGGAAAAACAGTAGAAACATATTGATTTCAAGGTAACATCTCTATGAAGAAACTGATCATAATGAATGTTAAAACCAACTAAGATAAAAGCAAGATATTTTTCATTGAAAAAAAATGTTGTTGCAAAGTCTTATGAATTCCCTCAGAACTTGTTGTTTTTGCTCTGTTTCCTATTATCCTTCCCTTTTTTATAGTATATTAATATGATTTCAAGGAACATGTGGAACAAGATTATTTCAAAGATGATGCATCCCACTTTTACATTAGTACTATATGACTCTTCTTATTATAAAAAAGTTCACAATGTTTGAAAATGATTTTTTAAGAATGATTCTTAAAACAATATTTTTTCTACATTCATCCTCTGTTGAAGGACTTACTTGTTGCTTGGCAACAAGCTTTGTTTTAGTTGTCTTTTACTTGCTTTAAATGCCTTTCTTTTCTTCAAATTTAATGCTGATTTTTTGTTCTTTTCAGAGATGGGTTAAAGCTTTCAGAGAAAATAATTACAACATTAGAATTACAACAACAAATGGATTAGAAATGAAGCATCAGGAATTCAAAAGAGGCTACCTGTCACAGTACAGTGAAGGTAGTCTTTGCACCATGATTGCAACATTGGTCCTCAGTTTCTTACCTGACAGTTACAGGAGGTATTTAATTCTTATGTTTTTTTTTCATTCCAACTTTCAACCCCCACCCCCACCCCAAAAAAAAATCAACCAAAACAAAACAAAACAAAAAAAAGAAAATTGAATCACACACCCCCCCCCCAAAAAAAAAAAACCAAAAGAAGATGGGCGTGTTTGGCGTGTGATCTGCAGGAATCATGTTTACGAAACATTTATAGTTTAAATGTCCACGATTTGGTCGGCTGACCACAGCTGGACAGGCTTTACATAGCTACGCACATAGGAAAATGTTATATTTTGTTTGAAATAACATGTCAAATTGTAATATTTAGGTTTTTTAATAATCAAACTTTAACATAGTAATGCTTCATATAAATAATAAACACCTACAAGATAATAAGGGTATAGTTAAATGCAATTACAAGTACATGTGTATATTAAAGTATTAGTAGGTTGGAAGAATTGCTTTCGCTCTCGGTGCAATAGAACCAGAATTTATCCATTTTAAAATAAATCGGTATAAAAAAATTAAACTGACAAAAGAATTGATTGCTTGCATTAAAAAAATATTAACGCTCCATGTGAGGATCGAACCAAAAATTTTCGTCTCCATTGCACTGGACGGGTAACGCATATTACTGAGCTATCATCGCTACACATTCAACTTGGCTTTTAAAACGACAATGAAGCACCGCATTTACACATTGGAATTCTTTGGGGAAAAAGTTCATTTTTTATGGTCTCTGGGTCTTCTCTCCATTTTTTATAAATGATTTTTTGTTTCTTTGAATTAGAATGCATACAAATAACATTTGAAAATCATGGAGAGATGACCCAGAGATAGCAAATTTTTAGAAAAACGTGTTTAAAAATGTGACATTTTGTACCAAATGAATCATCTAGCTTATTTTCAGATTATTTTTTAGCAAATCAAAATACAATTTCGGGAAAATATTTCCCTTTCCGATTTCACACAATCTGATTAAAATCAGATCTTTGTTACGCTCCGAAATTCTGATGGTCGCTGTACAAAGATCTGAAGACATCCCATTGAGGGTCACCTATGAATGAACTTTGTATAAAGTTCACGACCTTATACTAGCCAATGAAAATTTATCTCTTCCGCCAATCAATGATCGGGATATATAAGGGGTATGGTCATAGCGTAAACATGGCGAAATAAGAACGAAGTGAGTGAAGTGCAGATCGGTTCTTTGTATGAAATGAATAGCGAGTTAATTATGTTTCATGTACAAGCGGAAATGCAGAATTCTGCTTCCGATTGGTTATGGGATGTCACTCTCTCAGCTGTTGCAAGTCTATGGCGTGTTGTCCCGTTGTGACACTCAAGACGGAGCACCATACAGGTGACAGGTCAACAAAATATTTTACCGAGGTAATGATAAAGGTCAATCTAGAAAATCTTACACGAATTTTTTTAAATAACATATATTGATCCACGGGCTTTACCTGAATTTTAGGGATTGTCCGATGTCAAAGGCAGTCATAAGTGTAAAGAACATGTATTGCATTTTAAAAATAAAGTGACTGTTGACACAAGTTACAAGTTGCATTTAGACTAGCACTTTCATAAAAAACAAGGTATCTTACACACAATAAATGTAGCATTAAAAAGAAAAATGTTATGTTTCTGATTCAATTTCATTAATTATGATACTTGATTTGTAGTTCAATCTTGTTTTTATAGTTCTTCTCACATGTATTCATTCTTTGTCTGGTGTGTATACATTACCACCATAATCTTTTTTTTGCACCACTGTTCCATAGGGCCTGTCAGTCAATAAAAATTGTAGACCCCCTCCCTAAAATTCTACCCCCCCCCCCCCGGCACACCAAAACATTTTTTGAACTTTCATTGTTTACCATACACAACATGTCAGAGCTTTCTAATTAAAATTTACCTACTTTGTTCAAAATTCTTTAAGATTTCCTGCAACACTGCTCCATCAAACAAATCCTTTCCATGTGTTACTTTCTAAAATAATCCCAAGAAATTATCCCTTCCTACAGCTTATATTATTCACCTCTGTTTCTATTTATTTTTATAGGTAAACATACATGGCATAAAAGACACTTAACATTGTTATACTTATTTCTGATTACAAATAAAAATAGTTGTTGCCGTTGTTGAAAATAATATTTGTAGCATCCATTTCAACCCCTGTCATTTACTTGTTTTTCATTGTTGCAGGGAGCAGCGAATATGATGACAGACCCTGCCAGGCTCTGGTTTTTCAAACAAAACCCATTAATGTTCAAAACCGTTTCTGGACTCAGACATTATTCCTGTGTTCTCACATACCCAGGAGGACAATGAACAAGAAAGTTGTTATACTTGTATTGTGCATGTTTTTCCCCCATTTTAAGCTTGGTGGACTGTCAAGAGAACTATTTTCATACCAATCAAAGTGTATCTATAGATAGTAGTAAAAAGTTAGACAGTAGTAAAAAGTTAAAGTTGTTTATTTTCATGAAACTCCAATTTGTACTAAAACGGACTTGCATCAATGAACATTCATTGTTTAGAATACATTCTACAATCATCACACATGTCCAATGGGAACTGGAGAGACAAGTATGCAATAAAAGAAAGTATACAATTCGCATTTTTTTTTTGAAATATATAATTGTAATTAAAAGTTCTATGAATTATGTTTATCATTACTTATTTAATATTATAAAATTCAGGACTATAATGGCTGCTGACACCGGTGTGATGATTTTTTTTTCATGTAAATCAGAGACAGCTAATGAAAATACATTCAAAATTTCAGGACAATGAGGGCATACATATTTTTTACTGCTGCAAAGTAAAGATCATTATATCTTTATGTTCCTTCTTTTTCATTGGAAGGAATGCTGTCTTTTCTGACTCAGCTTTTCTACTTTCTTCTTGAACCAGATGTATACCACTGATACAGGAAATAGAGGATACTGCATTTTCATTTCCCACACAATGGCAATGTATACAGTATGTTGGAGAGCAGAGGTTAACATGGCAGACTTTTCTCCACAAAAATAATGCACAGTGTCAGTCACCTAAAAAATATATCCATTCTACATTATTTCAAGGAACATTCAGCATGTACAATGTATTTAAATTTGCAGGTTAATTTAGTAACATAACCTTACACTCAGTTAGCATGATACTTAAATAAAAAGTGTGGGTGTGATACAAATGCCCCACCAGGATCCATGTTTTAAATACTTAAATGTGCCTCAAGGATGTGAAAATAATGAAAGGAGAAAAGACAAAAGTAGAATATATCATTTTGCTGCTCTTATTTTCTTGGGTCATTTCCTGACTTATAATTTACAAGGACATCATAAAACTATCATGACAGAATAGTGGTAACATAGTCATTGTGGGGGCTAAGAGAATACAAATTTACTTAATATCTTGTAAATGAGTCAGATAAAAGTAAGGCCATTTTTAAGTGTGTGTGTGTTTGTTTTAACTCCACAGAACAGGAAAAAAACAAAATCAGGAGTTCTGAAATTGATTCTTTTGGTTAGAATGGCCTAATTGATATATCAATTTTTAGCTCACCTGAGCTGAAAGCTCAAGTGAGCTTTTCTGATCACCCATTGTCCGTCCTCCGTCCGTCCGACTGTATACTTTTCATATTTTCAACTTCTTCTCAAGAACCACTGGGCCAATTTTAACCAAACTTGGTACAAAGTATCCTTGGGTGAAGGGGAGTTTAAATTGTTAAAATAAAGGGCCAATTCCCCTTACAAGGGGAGATAATCAAGAAAAGACAAAAATTGGATGGGGTCATTAAAAAATCTTCTTCAAGGACCACTGGGCCAGAAAAACTGAAACTTATGTGGAAGCATCCTGGGAAAGTGTAGATTTTAAATTGTTAAAATCATGACCCACAGGGGTAGGGCGGGGCCACAATAGGGAATCCAAGTTTTACATTGAAATATATAGGGAAAATCTTTAAAAATCTTCTTCTCAAGAACCACTGGGCCAGAAAAACTGAAACTTATGTGGAAGCATCCTGGGATAGTGTAAATTTTAAATTGTTAAAATCATGACCCCTGGGGGTAAGGCGGGGCCACAATAAGTATTACAAGGGGGAAATCTGGTAAAGAACAGCATGGCTAAAGTTACTCAGGTGAGCGATGTGGCCCATGGGCCTCATGTTAGATTTTACAAATGATAAGTATGTGTATGTGAAATATTAGAGAGGTTAAGCAGATGACCGTGTACGTCTACGTGTACGTGTAGCTAGGGAAATGCCCTAATTTACTGCGATTTACGTCATCAGTTTTGCATATCGCGTAATTCTACAAGTTGTACACAACGTGTGGATTCATTTGTACACGTAGGAAAGAACGTGTAGCTTCTTAAACACTAATTATAGAATATATATTTTTCAGGCTGTGTTTGTTGTGATGTTGAGAGTTGATTACGTACATCTATGTACCTTTTTTAATCAAAGTCATAAAATTATTTGATACAAATGAATTGTAAAGTGACTTGTTGAAATGACGTTTTACACGTACTGCTACACGTACAGATTCTTAAACAGAACACGATGTTAGTTACGTGTACTTGTAAAAACACTTCTAGGTTTACACGTACACGTAGACGCACACGGTCAATTGCTTAACCTCTCTATTATTACATTTTATAGTATGTGCACCACAAACCTTCCAATCCTTTCAGAAATTGTTTCAGGCATGGTGATAACTCAGCTAATGTGTCACCTACAACGTTAATAATAACAAACATGAATTAAACAAACAATATGTAAGTTTAAAGTACTTTCTATTTGAATTTGTTAGGATGAGATTAATTAAAGATTGAGAATGGGGTAAGAATTACAAGAACAGAAGTAAAAAAAAAATTAAAACCTTGTACATTTTTTTTGTTTGTTATGAAGTTATATAATTTTGGGATGACTGTTGTGTCATTATAATAGGAAGTACGTGTATTTAATCATCAAGGCAACCGAGGTGATTTAAATGATGTAAATGCAAGCTTTAGAAGCTGTTTAGACAATTGTGTGAACTCTGTAATCGTAACTCATACGAAAAAAATTTCAACATTAAACTTACATTTCCATCGTAGATCTGACACCTGATCTGAAGTTTTCTCGCATTGTTTTTGGAATCATGATCATCTCAAACTTTCGGCAAACTTTCAGAGTCGGAGGGAACACACACATATTGCACATCTATTAAAATCTTCCGCATGGTCACTCTTCCTCCACTGTTTATATTTCTTTGCATCCATATCGATCAATAAACAACGCAAATGTTGCTCAGATGAAAAATTTCAACAATGTCATGGGCGCCGCCATTGCGTATTTTCGGAACTCGTTTTCTTCGGAATGTTTCGCGTAAAGCAAATCCAAAGAATCTGCCAGCGGCGTTTTCATTGGATAATCCAAAGTTCATTCTGAGGTGACCCTCAATGGGATGTCTTCAGATCTTTGTACAGCGACCATCAGAATTTCGAAGCGTAACAAAGATCTGATTTTAATCAGATTGGATTTCACAGGAACCCAAATGATCAAAAGAATGCTAAAATTTCGTGTGACAGATCAATAAATTTTTCACTTTTCAAGTGCGCCCAGATTCCTGCCGAATGCCAATCAAAAGCGCCCTCGTTCTTTTTAATAGTGGTTTTATGCTATATATTATACTCGTATAGTTGCAGAATATGAAAGATTTATTGGTTTGGACTTTTTTGCCTTAGTGATGTTTTCACATTGTAGTATATGCATATGGATTAATATACATACTTCTCCGGTTGGATAAGATGTTGAAAAGAGTATACATGTATTTGAAATTAGATGTGGCAATAATACAATTTTATTTTATTTTACAGTTATCTCAATTACAATATTCAGAGTTTTGAGTTTTACAAGAAGTACTCATCAAGTGTTCCAACATTTTTACACAACAAACCTAGGATGCTTGCCGAGCACTGCATCAAAAGAATTCCACCTGAAATTCAAACTATTTCCATAGAAAATATACAGGAGATTGAAGACAGGGCCTATGCTGTGCATAGTGTTGACTCCAACAACGTATATCAAGTGATATTTTCGGACACTGAACCCACATGTACCTGTGTTGACTACTCAAGACATCACTTGCCATGTAAGCACTAACTTGCATTTTTTAGATAATAGATGGATACTTACATCTTCTAACAGAGACAAAGAAGGTAAATCGTTAGTAAGAATTAGCTGTGTTTCATGTTAATAATCTTTTATAGTTTTTAAATGCTTGTTTTATTTAGGATTTGGAATTTGTTTGATGTATTGTTAATTATTGTCTGCATATTTTAATTTTGCTTATTTCGAATAATGTCACAGAATAAGAAGCTTTTAGCCATTGATTCATCAGTTGCAACACCCATATTTCAGGGAATATCAGAAAATTTTCATGGGTACATGACACAGGTAACTCTCTCTCTCTGACAATGTGTGTGTATGCATAAAAAAAATAATAAAAATGTCTTTTAATGAAAACATTGAGTATTATTTAGAAACTTTATAATTGATCAAAATAAAGCATTTACTTAGTAATGCTAATCAATTGATGTTTTTCTTAAATTTCATTTGGGACATGCAGACAAAATTCTCCAGTTACGACATGATTCGTGCTGCTGTCAATGAAAACAAAAGCTGGACACTTATAGTTTGTATACTTTTTAAAACTAGTAAATCTCAATTTAAACTTGATCTATGAGTAACTTGTCAGTTGTATACATGTTTAACTCTATCAAATTGGACATTTAGTTCTTGTATATCTGATAAGTACCTTTGTTATATTTTTTCAGGTATATACATGTTTAAGAAAAAAGGGTTTGGTTTAAATTACTTTCAAGATATGTTTTGCTTATTGCAAGGTCATTTATATTGATGCCATGTTTGATGATTGACCAAACCTTCCCTCCCACAATTTAAAGAAAATACTAAGTCATTTAAATTCTCACAAAATCCAAATAAATATCTGTACATGTATCTGTCTTTCCACATTCAGGTGCTATATCCAAGTACGAAGAAACTGGTTTACATTAATCCACTTGGTGAATTAAAGAGAACTATGAAAGATATTGGAGATAAATGGAGGTAAATATAATTTAAGATTGCAATACTGTAAATCACTTTTTATTCGAGAGCACATTGTCTAGCGTAGCTAGACAATGTGCCCGCGAAAATATCATTCTCGCATATATAAGTATTGGTAGAGATTATATAAATCAGTAACCAGAATTCGTGAAAAGTTTGTCTCACTAATAGAAAGTAAATGTCTATCTCGCAAAAATAAGGTGTCGTGAAAATTTAGTGCTCTACAGTAGTTTTAATGATTGCTACATTCCATTAAATACTGGATTGTATGGTTGTTGGTTTTTATATTTTTGTTTAGAGAATTCCTTCTTGGTAGAGTGAGAAGAGGTCTGAATGAAATTTTAGAGGATGGCTGGAAAGTGGAAACAACAAAACATACAAAGCAGTATGATTCTAATTCCTGTGGAGTGTATGTTGTAAAGGTGAAAAATATTCACTAGATCTAAACTCTTAATTCTCTAATGCCTATCTATCTGCCTGGTGATGCTTTGATTAAATGAAAAAAAAATGATATGTTAAACTCCCTGCAGTCCATAATTTTTTTTATAGGAAATCACTTACTACCCTTTTATCATATATTCAGTGTTAAATTTTGCATTTTAGTTTGCTGAGCTGATCATATCTGATTTGCCTCTAACATTTAGTTGTCGTCCAGATAATCTGTATCAAATTAGACAAGGAATTGGGAACCAGCTTTTGCAAGCAACAGGTAAATGTATGATAGAATCTCCTGTGTGGATCCATAAATATTTCATAATATGAAGGGGAGGGGGGTCCACAGCCTTTCAAAAAAATAAAAAATAAAAATTGAACAGCAAAAAAAAAAAAAAAAAAAAAAAAAAAAAAAAAAAAAAATCCACAAAACAATATGACCAAAGAAAGGGGAAAAACAACAAAAAAAACATTAAAAAAAAAAAACTTTTTCATTTGGGGTCTGCTTCATTGTCCATGCATGTACATGCGTAAGCTATATTACTTACCAGGCTGAATTTTCCCAATGATAATGGGGGAGCAGTTTCTAGGTCATTTTTGTAATAAATCTTTAAATCTTTTATGAATTTTTTTTTTTTGGTCCCAAAAAGGGAGGGTTTGCACCCCATTGACTCCCTTCTGGATCCACCCACTAAAATATCTAAAGAGGAGTTTAAAAAAATATTGAAATAAGGTTAAAACTAAGACAATAATTTATATTGCAGAACCACTGTTTGAGTACTGCTGGGCATGCAGTCTTCATAGAGAAGCAAGACGAAATGAGGATTGGGTATGATTTTTTTGTTCTGAGATGTATTTCGTTTATGTATACATAAATGTTTTGCTTGTAAATTTTAACCTGGACTTATTTTAAATTTTATAATTAAAAAAAAATCTTGCAGATAGGGTGTGAGAAATGTGTCAAGTTCTTTCACCATAGGTGTATAGGAGTTTCTAACTTTACATGTGGAATGCGTACCTCACTTGACCAACACTGTGTGAATCTGGAGCCTGATCTGAGAAAAGATCCTCCTAAGGTATACTTTACTCAATGCACAATATAGCATTAAGTGTTGACATAAAAGTTCGTGTCTGTGTAAAAGTAATGATTTTGTTTATTTTGCATCATTCACCACCTGGTAAATTTTGTTTCAGGAAAAGAAAAGTTCTTTTTATATAGTGATTTAAGGGGAAGGTAGCCAAATTAAGATACATTTCGCATGGCATTTAATTCAGTTTTGAAAATTTAGAATTTGTTGTTCGAAATGTATTTTCCAATGATTTTGTATGATGTTATCAAAATAGTGTTGCTTGTTATTATTTTTAAGCCATGCTTATAAGATCACAAATTTAATGTATATTAAAGCAGGCAAAATCTTATTAAATTTAAGGAAGGTGCTCAAAGTTTGATAACATTTCACAGTGACTGTGAGTTTAATTTCATTATCATATTGTTGTTCAACGTTTGCATATATCATGTAGTCTTGTGTTATCTGCATATAATCAACATTCAACAGCTAATTAAGGAGGGATTCTTCTCATATTTATTGTATTTAAAAATTAATGAAAATTTCACAGATTTAAGATGACGATATCACTAAGTGATGATATCAATGAGATTACATTTGACTGTTTTATTTTAGGTGCAAGGTCAGGTCAAGGTCATCAACTTCTTCCATGACATCCAGCATAAAAAATTACTTTTGCCACCTCTATTTATTTTAAAAGATTAAATGTTTTTCTTTTTGCATAAAATGATCTCACCATATAAGGTTTATCAGATGATACTACCAAATTAAGATTAAAAGTGTAACTGAAATAAATATTTGTAAATCTGAATTTCGTTCATTTTAATTAAATTTTTAGGGATAAAATAGTTATTTTGATATATTTCATATATTTAAATTTTTCTTATTTTCACATATGGTTAAGTAGTCATATCAAAATACAAAGTGATACAAAAACAAAAAAGTTTTGACGGTTTAGTAAGAGAGAAAAAACACTTTTTACTGATTTTTGGCTCAATTCTGTTCTTAGGTCAGAAGCTTTCAAAAGCTAATAAGACTAGTTTGTTTAGAAAATTGAATTTATTTTATATATTGTAAAACTTTAATCCATAGTAATTAATTTTAATCCCCATCAAATTGGAGATTTTACATATCTATTTTAATAAATAAAATGGGGGAGGGGGTACATTTTGAATTAACATTCCACAAATGCACAACCCTAGTGAATAGTTACATGTAGCAATTGAACCACAAAGAGAAATGTTATGCCTTTTGTTCTGAAGTCAGGAGTGAGGTATGAAAATATAATTTTTGTATGAACTTAACAACCTTCCACTCATAACATCATGTTTAAATACCTAGAGAAAAAAAATACTGGTCCAGGAGTTATGTGTACAAGAGTTTCCACGTTCCTTCCAGCAAAGACCAAAAACTCTTCGGGAATTGCGGCCTGTATTGCTGTATTTGAATTGCTATTTATAAGACATTCGTCAAGACGTAAGGCAGATATATAGTTTATAAAAACTGCATGGATTGCTTTAGATAGAAGCCTATTTCATTGATAGTCAAGTGACTGTACTTGGTACATTTTTTTAATCAACTGTAGGCATGTGATATGATTTAGTTTTAGAAGCATGAGTTTACCTCTTAGGAAAATTATGTTCATGTTTAGTGTAGACTTTATTACAGATACACCACTGCTATTTTCAGGTCACCTAAATCCTTTAGGTGAAATATTGTAATCTGTTTTAATTGTCTGCACTTTGCAATGCTTGTGGTCAACCCTCTGTTAACATTTGAACATTTTTGGCATCTACTGTTGAACTGTTAAGCCATTTCTAATACATAGTACTATAGGTGGACAAAGGGAAAAATAACTCTGAAATTCATATATACACACATGTACCACATGTACAATAAATTTGTAAAGTATGAATTGAATATTTCAGGTATGGAAAATCAGAAGAAACTGTAAAGGATAATGTTTTGTGAGTAATTATGTAAATTATAACATCAATATCTCTTTAAGTCAACTGTGTCAATATATTTCACTTGTAGTATTTGTCTCAATAAGTCTTCAACATGTTTATTATAACATTGGTTTTCTATACTTAATCTTTAATACTTAATCTTTAATTAATGTTATATTAATTTATAAAATAAGATGCATAATTTTATACTTTCATTTAATTTATTCATATGATTATTGAAAGAATTGTAATTTGCATTTAGAAGACACGGGGCTGTAACAAGCTATAGAAAAGGGTAGTGTTGAAGAAGTTGATGAAAGAAGTGTTGGAAGCAAAGTTCATGAATTTAAAGTCAGTGCAGATGCTGATGGAAGATGACATAATTATTATTGCTGAGAACAGAGAAGATGATGATGTTGTGATGAACAGACTAGATGATAATGAGGATGATGAAGATGTTTTCAATGCTGGTGGTGTTAGTGAGGCTGTAACAAACAAGAATAGTGAGTGATCAATATTTGATATTAAAGTCTTTTAAAAATAAAATTTTGTTTTAAAAATTTTTAATATTGCACACAGTGTAAATACTGATGATCTTTTCCTTCCAGAAATTCAAACAGATTTCATAAACAGTCATGTGAGTAGAATAGAATATCATTTGTTATACATGTATATCATAATTTGTAAAATGTAATAGAATATATATAGTTTTCAAAAAAAATTAACACATTATCTTGTTGCTGTTAAATAGTAAAAGTGTTAAGTCATTCTTGTCTTTGAGTTCAGTTATAAATAAAGAATGTATTAATTTCATTTTATTTCCATGCAATCTGCAGATGAACAGTGTTGTTGCATACTTGAAGGAGATTATGAACTGCACTATGAAAGAGTGGTATATAGTTAAGATACTTGATGCTTGAAATAATACTTTGGTCTCTTAAGTACATACACTGCTAATTTTTATTTAAATTCAGGTTTGTATGTTTCATCTTAAATGTATTTCCACAGTGAAGAAGTTGATCATCTACGGCATCATCAATTTACGGAAAATCCTGTGTCGATGTATGAGAAATTCAATAAAAAGTACTGTTGTGGGGAGAAATTTATTAGCGCAGAGGTAAGTATATACATTTATATTATTTCATGGGATTTGGGATGGAATCTTTTCTTAAAATTACTCATTTGTTTTTTGTCTTTTGTTGTGCTTTGTGCAGAAGTCAATATTGTTTCATCTTTTGAAAGTTATGGAGCATTTACACACAGTCCTGACAGAAAAAATGTGCGCCAGCAATCCAGTACATGGGTAATTTAGCTAGTTTTTCTTTCAGTTTTTAATGAAACAATGTATGCAATTTGTACTATAGTCATGAAACAACTTTCAGATCCATCTACACAAGATACAGATGGTATGAAAAACCTGAAAAATCAACACCTAGAACATATCCTGAGAGAAAACAATTTGTGTGTTTTTCTTTTTTTTATACTGTAAACCAGGAAATTTTAGCCTCTGTGTTATTTTCACTTAATTGGCTTAGGTCATCTGTGGGAGAAATTAAAAAGGGGTAACTTCAGAGAAAGTCATATTTCTTTGAATACAACTGTGTGTAGACGAAATTGTTTGAAGGTGCGTTAAGTAGAAAATAACACTTAAAAATAACCTGTATGCAGTATTTTTTCACATTTTTTAAAACAAGTCTATAAATTTAACTTTGTACTATGAAAAAATGTGATCTTATTTCTATTTCTTTCAAACTCATTTAAATTTTCTTTACGTTTTATAATTTCAGAATGGGAGTACATTACATGAACCTGATTTTGGTTAAAGAATCTATAGTGTATCTGATATGTAAGAGAACAGGTTTACCATACGAAGAAACAGATGAAAGATGCACTCTTACAGAGCGTTCTGTACAGGATGAAATTGCTGAACTCTAGTTATATCTTAATTCAAAAATGACGAACACAGCAATGCATATCATAAAACTTTCATAAAAATAGCTACATGAATCATGAATCAATAATTACTTAACAATTTGCACTAGAGTACAGGTGTGTCACTTATATATGAACTCGGTAGAACCTATCAATAGCCCAGGGTACAGGTGTTTCACTTATATATTGTACTGAGGGGAACATATCAACAGCCTAGGGTACTGGTCTCTTACCTGTCCTGTAGTACTCAGTAGATCGTATAAATAGCCTAGGGTACTGAACTCTTACCTGTCCTGTAGTACTCAGTAGACCGTATCAATAGCCTAGGGTACTGGTCTCTTACCTGTCCTGTAGTACTCAGTTTATTGAATCAATAGCCTAGGGTACAGAAGGGTCACTGTTATGTAGTTCCCAGATGACCATATCAAAATCCTAGGGTGCAGGTTTGTTACTTTTGTACTTGGTAGATTGTTTCAAAAGCCTAGGGTGCAAGTACTGCGTCACATATATATTTAGTAGAACATACCAGCTCGGGATATCTGACAGGAAAATGGATGCTGGACTTAATGTTATCAGATTAGATCAGGTGATTTTCTGAAATATGTTTCATATTTGCTTCCTGTTTGTTTTATTTTAATACTGTTAATTTCAGAATTATTTATTAAATATAGTTACAATTTATCTAGTGTTGTTTTGTTTAGAAAATTGATATCTATCTTCCCATCATTTACAATCTTATTTTAATTTTTTTTTACTTATTATCATTCTCATTTTTTTTCTTTTCTTCCGTGCCCTTGTTATTTATTTATTTATTTATTTATCAATATATTTTTAGAATTTATTTATATTATTTCTTTAATGTACAACTGCACATGAAAGCCAAGCAAT